ATGCTGACTGTTTATAATTTAACCCAAGAATGACTACACCATGATATCATTACTAGAGGCCCGATGCATGAAATTTCTACAAGAGTAGGCCTTCCTTCCCCTGGCTGCCAGCACCAGCTTCCCTCTGGCACCCAGGACCTGGGCTTCCCTCACAGAGGGAGCCCCCCCCCGCCTGCGGCAGCCAGTTGGTAGGTGGCCTGGGCCTCCCTCTTTGGGGTGATCATGGAGCCTCCCGATTGATCACCCTGCCGGCCAGTGGCCTGAGCCTCCTTCTGTGGGGCACTCATGGGGCGATGGCCAGGCCCCTAACCAATCGCATCGCACCTGCCTTGCCTGGCCTGGCCCCAGGGTGTCATAGTGTGGTCCCAGATGGTCATCCGGATGTTCGTTCTGCTGTTTGGCGGTTCAGTTGATTTGCATATTATACTTTTATTATATAGGACTAGAGGCCCGGTGTACAAAAATTTGTGCACTTAGGGGGCAGGGGGGGTCCCTCAGACCAGCCTGTGCCCTCTCGCAGTCTGGGACCGCTCGGGAGATAACGCCCTGCTGGCTTAGACCTGCTCCCGGGTGGTAGAGGGCAGGCCCAATCCCTAGGTGCAGCCCCTGGTCGGGCTCAGAAAAGGGCCAGTTGGGGAGTTGGGGCGCCTTCCCCTGTCATGCACAGAGCAGGGCAGATTGGGAGGTTGCCATGCCACCCTCAGTCACGCTCAGGGGGTTGGGGCACCACCCCCTGTCACACTCAAGGCAGGGTCGATGGGGAGGTTGCGGCGCCACCCCCTGTCACGCACAGAGAAGGGCCCATCAGGGGGGTTGGGGCTCCGTACCCTGTCATGCACAGAGCAGGGCCCATCAGGCGGTTGAGGAGCTCCCCCCTGTCACTCACAGAGTAGGGCCGATAGGGGAGTTGGGGCACCGCCCCCTGTCACACTCAGGGCACGGCGGATCAGGGGGTTGGGGAGCCGCTCTCTATCACCCACAGAGCAGGGCCAATCAGGGGGTTGGGGCGCCGCCACTCTCACACTCAGGGCAGGGCCAATGGGGAAGTTATGGCTCTACCCCGTCACACACAGAGCAGGGCCGATCAGGGGGTTGGGGAGCTCCCCCGTATCAGGCACAGAGCAGGGCTGATCAGGAGGTTGTGGCCCCGCCCCCTGTCACACAGAGAGCCGCAGGGCAATCAGGGGGTTTGGGCGCTGCCCCCTGTCACACCGATCCCAGTGCCAGGAGGCCTCTCGGCTCTGCTGATACCGGTGCTGGGAGGCCTCGCGGCTCCGCTGATCTCGGTGCTGGGAGGCATATTACCCTTTTACTATATAGGATAGAGGCCTCGTGCATGGGTGGGGCTGGCTGGTTTGCCCTGAAGGGTGTCCTGGATCAGGGTGGGGGTCCCCACTGGGGTGCCTGGCCAGTCTGGGTGAGGGGCTGAGGGCTGTTTTCAGGCTGACTGAAACTCCCAACTGCTCCTTTTTTTCTTTTCTTTTTTTTTTTATGATACTTCCAGCTCTGAGGCTTCTGCTGCTGAAAGCAGGTATCTGGTTTGTTTCGGTTCTATAATCGAAACAATCTATAACTCCAGCTCTGAGATCCCGGGCTCGCTGAAAGCAGGTTTCTGGGGTTTTGTTTAGCTTCTATATTTGTTACAATGTTTCTTAAACTGCAAGCTCAGAGGCCAGAGAGGCAGGCGGGGAACGTTGGTTTCCTCCGTCACTGAAGCAAGCAAGCCTCATGTTAGTTTCAAGCTGCCTGGCTGCCGGCCGCCATCTTGGCTGGCAGTTAATTTGCATAGCTCGCTGATTAGCCAATGGGAAGGGTAGTGGTTGTATGCCAATTACCATGTTTCTCTTTTATTAGATAGGATATGGTACTAATCACAATGCTTTGGATCAGATTTACTTTGGGGACTATGTTTTCCTGGGCTAATTTTTCTCTGTTATAATGGGTTTTGTTATATACAGTACAAGGTGGACATTCTCTTTGTAAGAAGAGTAACTCATTGAATGGTTTTGGAGCTGAAAAGAAATATTCCACCTATGTGGAATCATGATACTTCCTGAGTTATTTTGTTAAAACCCCTGGCCACAGAAACTCAGGGAGATTATGGTCTAGTTATTTTATTCCTGATACAACTTCAACAAATGTTGCTTTATCAATTAATAAATGATAATTTATTTCACGAATCAGAGAAAGAATGTAAGACATGAGCTGAGTTAGACAACCAAATTTTGCTGTCCTCACAAAAATACGACTGTATACTTTCAAGACCCAGTCAATTATTCACAGTAATAATAACAAAATTATTTGAAACATTATATTAATATAAATACTTGGATACTTTGCTGATTCAGGTTTATGTGAGTCTTTGAAATGCTTTCCATGAACCTTTTCTTTAGTTTCATAATTTATTCATATTGGTTTAATTTTTAAGCTGTGAGGTCTTTGCTCATGCAAAGAAATCTTTTCTTAATATGGATGCTTCAACACAAGCTTTTTTCTTGAAGAGCACTGTCACATGTAAAACATTGCTTTTCCAGGAATGTCTCCAAAATGTACATTTGCTTCTTTTTAAAAAATTTAAAGTAGATGCAAAATAAGCAAAAAATGTATTTGCAAGGCTAACTCTCCTCCTTATTCTGTAAAAAAAAATAAATAAATAAAATGAATAAATACTAGTCACGTTTCTTAATGGAAGCAGCGTCCCCTAGTGGGTAGGTTTGTAATAATGTTAACATTTTTTTCACATACATTTTTATTAAAGTGAAATTCACATAATATAACAATTTTAAAGTGTACAATTCAGTGGTATTTAGCTTACTCACAATGTTGCACAACCACAAGCTCTCTCCCTAGTTTCAAAAATTTGTAATCACCCTACAAAAACACCCATAACCAGAGACTAATCACTCCCTATTCTGTCTACCTCAATTCCCTGGTAATCTCTAATTTGCTTTCTGTCCCTATGAATTTACTTATTCTAGATATATCACATACAAGAAATCACAAAAAGATGTGAATTTTGTATCTGGCTTCTTTCATTTAACAAAATATTTTTATGACAATTTAAATTATAATATGTACCAGTACTTCATTTTTATTTTTGAATAATATTTCATTGTATGTACAGGGGCGGGCAAAAGTAGCTTACAGTTGTTTCTATTGGAAAAGACATACAGGTTATGATAATTACAATTGCTTTATTAACTCAACAGAATGTCACAATGCAACTGTGAACCTACTTTTCCTGATCCCCGTATGCATCACAATTTGCTTATTCATACAATGTTAGATATTTGGGTTGTTGCCCCACTTTTGCTCTCATGAGTAATCCTGTTGTAAACATTCGTGTACAAGCTTCTGGTAATGTACTTTTTCCTTTCTCATGGGTAAATACCTAGCAGGGAAATTGCTGGGTCATATGGTAATTCTGTGTCTAACTTTTTGAGGAACCACCAAAAAAAAAGACCAACCAGTACACATTAGAATATGATTTTCAAAGATATTGGCATGCTTTGCAAGAGAATGCTTGTTAATGTGGGAGAAAATGGCATTGGTTATAAACCTATTCATATTTCCTTTTAATAATGTCAATTCATCATAGGAAGTCTTTCTATACTAAGCATTGGGTGATGCTCCCTCTTATCCCATGAAGAGTATCTCTAATAATATACCATAAGATTTATCAATTAAAGATGTGTATGATGCATTTATGTATATCAAGATGTCCGAGTTGTCCCCTATTGCATGCATTTTAACTTCTAAGGAATTTTCTCTCCTTTTCTTGAATCTTATCATGAAGAACATGAGGCTTTTGTTTGAAAAAACAAAAATTTAGCTAACGGTCACATAAATAATGGGAAAAAAAACATTGCTCACATTCAAATTCGATATTTATAACTCCCTTAGTAATGCTGAGATTTTGCATAGTGAGCCTCACAGTTCAAAGAATTGAACCAAGTGCGCCGGTATTATGTAAGGGACATTCTTGCTCACAGGAAAGAGAAAACATTGCCTGTTTCTGGCCAATGGAATGAAGGAAGGGAGAAATGAAGAGAAAAAAGGTTAGATATGGGTAGTATGATTTTTCCTTCCACCTCATAGTGGAAACTAATATTGGGAGGGGTGGTGGTAGACCACACCCATTCAAATATAGATTTAAGCAACTCCCGAGGAGAAGGCACATTCTGCATTTTTTGAGACATAGTCCAAGAAAGTTTCAACATGGTTAGAAATGCCCACCACACTTGGAAAAACCCTGCAGCAATGTAGTGCTGTCATATAGGTATGAGAAGAATGTGAGAGAGTGGCTACCATGTTATAAGGTCTGCTTCTCACATGTAAGAGAATCCAGAATTTCTTTGGACTTCTAGCATGGGAGGGATAGAAAGCAGTGTATGAAAGTCCCCAAAACACAGTGGATCAGAGACTTCTGAAGGTAATTGGAATAGAGAGAAGTGGGAATTTAAATGGAGAGAATGCAGAGTCCCTGTTCATGGAAATTCACCTGTGACCAGCAAGTAAATGTTGCCAGGTAGAGATCATGCGTCTCTCTAAGCCAAATTCTCATTTGATCCTACTGTTTGGCTTCTTATAGCTTTTCTCATTAATTAATGAGTTATGTGAAATCTTTGACATGTATTTATTTTTTATGCATATGAGAGTCATGATTTTAGGTGGTTTTGTGGAAATTATAATTTTATGGAAGACAATGACATCATCCTCAAAATACTAAGATAGAAAAAAATACTACTTTAGAATTCTTTATCTAGTGAAAATATTCTTTAAAACAAAGTAAAAGAGAGACACTTTTGAGAAAAATTAAACTTGAGAGACTCAGTAAGAGCAGATCCACTGTAAAGAAAATACTAAAGGGAGGTTTTTTCCCAGGCAGAAGGAAAGTAGGTAGGTAGATTTATAAACAGGTAAAAAAAAAAATTAGGAAGAAATCAAAAGCATAAATATTTTTGCAAGTGTGAGTGTTGACTGTAATAATGTCTTCCAGAGTTTAAAATATTTATTAAATGAAAATATATGACAATAATAGCACAAAGGATGAGAGGGGAGAAATAAAAGTATTCTCATGTCCTAGCAATCTATAACAACTGGTAAAAGTACTAATTTATTTTAGAATTTAATAAGTCACAAAAGCATGGGGCAATTGCTGGGGCAACTACAAACTGTACAGTAACAAAATGTATAAAATGGGACAATACAAATAATGAATCCAAAGAAGTTATAATTTTAAATCCATATGTTGTATGTATGTGATTGTCAGACAGAGATGGTCAGATTGTATACAAAACAAACTCATTTATATTCATTATTGAATATGATGTTACAGAAATATTAAAAGTAAAACAATAAAAAAGATATACCATATAACACTATCTAAGCAAAAGCCATTGTAGATATAATATCAGACAAAGTGAACTTCAGGCAGTTGTTGCTAGAAATTGAGGCAATTTCATAATGATAAAAGGAATAACCTATGAAAATGTAGCAATTTTAAATTTAGGCAGCTAATATCCATCAAATAACCAAATAAAATAAAAACATATATAACAAAGGTTAACAGGAATAAAAGGAGAAATAAATTCTAATCATAATGAGTGCTTTATACACATCTTTCCAGGTAATTGATAGAAAACAATCAGACAAAATAATTCAGTAGAGGTGTATTTTGAATGACATAATTAATAAACTTGACCTATTAAATAAAACCTTGCATCTAACCACTGAATAATGTACTTTATTTTCAACTACACATAACAATTATATTATGTTCAACAAATGCTGAGCTAAGAAGTTCACCCAAAATGAATGAAAAGCATGTAGAGTACGTTATCTTAATGAAAGGAAGTCCAATTAGAAATAAAAACAAATATATCTTTAATCCTTCAGTATTTGGAAATTTAGCAGTGGTCTTATTAATTTCTAATAAGATAAAAAGAAGTCAGAATGGAAATTAGAATATATTTTAATTGAATGGTAACAAAATTTAAAGAAGTTTGTGGATGATATCAAAGCCATTTTTAGAGAGAAATTTATAGCCTAAGTACATTTACTTAAAAAAAAGCTAAAAATCAATTTTAATAATTTAGAAAATAATTTTAAATTAAAACCAAAGAAATAGGAAGAAGAACATGATAATTATAAAGGAAAGAAAAGAAATATTAAAGGACATATGAAGAAATGATTTTTTAAAAAGCCAAAAGTTGTTTTTTTGAAAGATTGAATAAGTAAAAAAAGAAGTCACAAAATATGAATAATATGAATAAAAAAGAGGCCATTACTACAGATCCTATAGAGTTTTAAAATATAATATTAAGTTATAGGCAACTTTATGTTAATAAACATTAAATTTTATTGGAAATGGGTAAATTTCTAAAAAAGTTGTGCTAGAAACTGAAACAAGAAGAAACAGCAAATCTGTACTGTCCTTTATTTATTAAAAAAATTAAAACATAATTAAAAACTTGTAGCTAAAAAGTAACTCAGCCCCAGAAGTCTTCACTAATTAATTATCCAAATAATTAAGGAAAGTTAACAAAAATCTTAATCTCCACCAGAGAGCAAAAAAAGAGAAAACCATCCTAACTTGTTTTAAGAGGTTAGCATAATCTTATGATCAAATTCTAACAAGCACATTAAAATAAAGAAAATTTACAAGCCAAATTCTTTCATGAATATACATTTAAAAATAGAAAGCAAAATATTAAAACAAAATACTGTAAAAAAAAAAAAAGCACTTAATAACCCTGTATCTGTTAAAGAAATTAGTATCTTTAATTAAAAACTTTTGACCTAGGAAGACTCGAGTATCAGATGGATTTACTAGTGAAGTCTATCAATATATATGGGTTAAATAAACCCACTCTCACAAAAGTTCTTTTCAGAATGAATATTTCCTAACTTGTTTTATAAGGACAGACTATCCTGATAACAAAGCCTGATGAATTACCCAGAAAGAGCACCAAAAATAAAAGAAGAAATATTGAGGGAACACTATGTTAACGTATATGATTGTCTAACCACTAAGCTGTACACCTGAAACCAATACAAAATACAATTGAAAGATAAAAAATAAGGGAGTGACTTTAAGATAACAAGGAAGAAAATTTAGAAATTTCAATATGTAATCCTCAGGAATTCAAGATAGAGAGAATAAAATATAGGAGGAGAAAGTATTATAATGCTAAAAGCTGAAAATTTCCCTCAAATTTTATCAAAGATATTAATAAATATATGAATCTTTAAATTACATTGGCATGAATTTTGATTAATAAAAGCAATTTCATGGCTTGGCTAAAAAATTGAAAAACACCAAAATAATCTAAACTAATCTATTAAAAATGTGGCTGAAATAAAGGTGGTGCTACTCACAGACCTTGCTAATAGAATTCCTCATATATTTTAAGGAAATAGAACACAAAATAATGAAGTGGGCAGAAGAAGCAAGTTTGTGGAAACAAATTCATTCATATGTGAGGAAGTCTAAATAAGTACTGCTATACAAATTCGCAATCATAATACTGTTCAATTTGTTGACTGTCAGATAAGGTAGAATTAAAATAGTGGACCAAAAATAACCTAAGAGTTGGGCAATGGTATGTAATTTGTTTTAGAAACTTCACTGTTGCAGGCCAGGTTATTGATTATATTTCACTAATTAAGTATGCATGTTAAAATTTAAGGGGAATCACTTGCAGAGAGAAGCAAGACAAAAGGAAGGAAAGAAGGAAAAAGGGAAGACAGTGGCATCTTTCCAACCAGTAGAGATGGGGTAAAGAAAATAAAGAAAAAATTAATGCAAAAGAGGTCAAGAAGGAAGGAACCAAGAAAAGAAAAACTTGGGGTGGGGGGCAGCATGAAATAACGTGTAAAAATAAGATAAAATATATCTATATATAAAATAAATGTGAGCAGATTAAGATAGGCTATTAACAGAAAATGTCAGATTGGATTTTTTAATTGAGGTGTATCTTTTTTAAAAAAACATATACTAAAAGGTAAGAACACAGACATCTTTAAAAATAGTTGGGAAATGAGATCTCTGTAAACTATTAGCCAAAAAAAGGGCAATGCAGCCTATTACTTTCAGATTAAATAGGGACAGATGTATTGATTTTACTGCTTATTCTATTGCTCAAGAACAATTAATCGCTGCTCATTGATAACAGAATAAATTCCAGACTCTTCAGCATAACTTTCAAGGTTCTTCACCTCTGGCTATACAATCTTCCTTTGGACAGTTAAGTCCATCTTTGATCTCTCAGCTGTTTTCAAAATCTGATTATGTAGTAGACACTCAAATATTATTTAGTTCAAATTAAAGAAAGACAAAAACACTACCCATGCAATCATTGTAACATTTACTTTAATAACATCCTCTTACCTTTTTCATAGATATTTTTTTTTCTTTAAAAAGAATTGGAGGAGAAACATGTTTTATTGTCTATTTAATATATTGACAACTGAACACAATTTTTTCCCTCTTACCTCTTTCTATCCCTTTCCCCCATAGTTTCTGTAGATATTAACAGTAAAAGATATTTTCCCCCAGAGGATCATTTGTAAACCATTCCCTCACATTTATTATACTATCCTACCTTCCTCTCCTTTTCCCTATTTTTCTTCCCTCTTCCTTCTCTCCATTTCACCCCCCTATTTTTTTACTCCTTTCTTTTCTTTGTAAATTATCCTGTATTATACAGAAAACAAGTGAGATGGGAGGTGTTCAAGAATGGATAATTTGAGAATGGGAATGTTTCCTGTTTAAATTCATGACTTGATAATGACAAAGTGAATGTTTATTTTATGTTGGCGAGTGTAAGCTGCCTCCCATTAGCCCAGATTAATGGTTCTTACACAAGGCACATAGGATTCACCTGGGTGGGGGAGGGGTATTTCATGAATCCATACTGTTTCCAAAACCAGCTCCATATTCACCTCATGCAGTATGTATGAGGGGTGGTTACAGTGCCATTATGTGTGTGAGTATATATGTGTAATTCGTAAAGCTCTGTACACTATTCTTGTGGAATACTTTTCCCACCAACTTCTGTCCTAGAAGAGAACCCCCAATATAAATGTATCAATGTCACACTACAAGACAAACACCCCCAAAGCCATTAATATTGGTAACCTCATTTGTACATGATGAGTTATATGAGTTATAATCTCTAAAGGAAACAGGTGCATTTTCTGTAGAATATATTTTCCTACTGGGCAAGGATACCATAAATCATTGACTCTCATTCCTTCATCTGAATCAGCACCAATAGGAGCCTTAAAAAAATTAGGTGCTTAAGTCTGATCTCCAGAAATACGAGTTCAGGTGGTCTGGTCTTGGTTCATGCACTGGCATTTTTAAAAAGTGCCTTGGGTAATTATAATACGCAATCTGACCTGAGAAGCATTTGATAAACTGCTCATAATTAAATGTGAAAACCAAAGCTATGTCATTTTGTTTGCATTTTATGAAGTCTTCAGATCTAAGCTCACTTTGAATTTTTGGCAATTTAATTGTAGAAATAAATAGCTACTATATGGACTTTTATAATGGCAGTAGATTAAGGGTTAAGTGCACAAGTTCAGATTGTGATAAATAAGAAATTTGGTAAACAGAAAAGAAACAAGATATCCTGAGTGAAAAATACTGAGAGCCCGAGGAGGAGATGGAAAGTAGATCAAGGATACATAGGGAAGAAACTAAAATGAAAAAGAGAAAAATAAAATAAAATAGTAGGTAGAGGGAAGGAGAAAGGATGCACAACTTAAAATGTTAGTCAATTTTTATTAATTTTTATAACTTTCCACTAACCAATACCATATCTAGGCTTTTGGCCTATATTTAAACTAGATATCCAGTACACTCTTCTTAATTAATTTCCATTCCATGAAAAAAAAATTAAAGATGAATTATTATATTTCATGTGTATTCTTTACATTAATTTTTTCTGATTGATCATTTTTACATGATAGAAATTTACCTTTTAATGTCATTTCAAAGATAGAAACAAAGACAGAACAATTAAATACAAAAACAAAAGCAAAACCTTTATTCTTTTGGCTTGATTGTAATGTGGTTTACCGTTCTTTATGGTAATAGCATTTTCCTGCATGCATTTCACCAACACACTACAAGTCAATAGCTTTAGTATAAAGAATCTACATTTAATGTTGCTTGTGAAAGAAACACAAAATGTTTTGCTATAACCGGTAATATAATTTCACTATCTGATTCTGTGGGGGGGGAAAAAGCTTGGATCTCATACCATACCTGATACAGTTATAATGCCATGTGGGTTAATGAGAATAAGATCTACCTGTATAAACAAACACTAGAAAAGACTGATGATTTACTCAATATAAAGACTATGTGGAAACATCTGATCAAGCAATGCCAAGCATAACAACTGATCTTTCCTTAATTAAGCCTTTTGATGATAAGGCATTACTTTGAAAGCAAATAAACGTTGGACTTAGTTTGATATTTTTCTCACATTGAATTGTGTGCAAAGTTTACAGTACTAATAAAAAAGCAGAAATCTACACTGTATCTTAGTCTGTTACTTATTTTGTGAAGTGCCTTAATTTAAAAGTGCTAGGAACAGAAACTAACAATAGTGACTGTGACATCAACCTGAAGATACTCTTAATTTTGCATTTTATGTACAAAAGGCTGAAAATAAAATAAAATGAACTTTTTACAGTATTTATATTTTCTTAGAAAACTCTAACCATATATTTTCAACAGATTTAAGCGGCTTGCAACATGTTTGCACAGTTGGGCTTTTTAACCATAGAGTGTTCAATGGAGATTGGAAGAATAAAAAGCAAGAAGCTCTTCTTTGCTGCTGCCTATTGCTTCATGACATGAAGAATGAGGTCTTGGTAGAACAACTGGTTTCACTTTACCGCTGGCATATGGCTTCCCATATTAGACTTCTGAACAGTGGAAGGAGTAAGGTACAGCAGCATAGGCGAGATAAACATGCAGCAGTGACAGCTTCAAACTATAATGGAACCAGTTACATCATATTACCTGTTGAAAGCTGGCAAACTATACTTACTGTGGTACATATTTGATGCAATAAATACTGTGCTTAAGTCATCATTTTTGTTTGCTCAAACATGCACCACTGGGTAAAAGTACTATTTACAAAGCAGACTTTTATTTTTTTTTTTAAATTGACATATACACTGTCAACCTTACCAAGAGCAGAAAATGGCTAAACAATACTGCAGGAAAAAGCAGAATCAACTTTATAAAGTGGTGGTGGGGATGCTTTTTGGTCAGTTCTGGTTCTTAGAAAGGACTTGATAGAATAGTTTTATTTTATGCCAAAGGGCACTTATCAAAAATGTTATAGTCATGCTGCCGGGATTCTGAATGACTATGTAATGGTGTGTGTATATACATCTATATGTATATACATGCACATATACATATATACATATATACATGTACATATAATGAATTATGTAAAAATAAAACAGTTCTTTAATGCTTGTGAATTCTATGGAACATTTACAGGCACATTAAAATTTTTCTGGATGAGACACCTTAAAAACATGAATAGCTATTTAAGCACCTCAAAAATCTAAAAACATCCTGAAACAAGAAGTAAACTCTTTCCTTTTGTGATGTGATTTTTTTCATGTGTGAATGAGAAGTGCAGCATGCCTTCATTTAAAATATATCATTATACAGTAGAGAAATGTAAAGATTCCCTACCTTTAATCCCTCTCCCCAAACATAAACCCATTTACAAAAATAGTCACATATAATAGTAAACAACCTGTGAATTAAAACAAAAGAAAAAGCAATAAGTTCACAGCGTACATTTTGTAGAAATATGGCAGGTGCGGCAGTTAAACATAAACAGTGGTGACCATTACTGTTATCAAGTGTCACGTGTTGAATTTACATAAAAATTTAACCTCCCTCCCCCCCTTTAAATTGGTTCCTATAGTCTGAGTAGCCATTACATCTCTGCTCTTCAGCAGTGTCAGCTGGTTGTGAAAACAGAAACCTCCTGTCAATGCTGATTTTCTGGTTTGTTGAGTCCCAGTTGGCTGACCAGAGGTCCCTGTCTTGTTAGAGGCACTGACCCTAAGTATACATTTGTAAAAACAGTCAGTTTGGCATAGACCTCCTGTGGGAGTCTTGTTGACACTAATACATCACCATCACAGGCTGTAAACAATTGATCACAAAAGAAATATTGTTTCTTTTTTACTTTTTACTTTCCCTGATATCTTTCCCTTTGTCTTCCTTTTCTGATTTGTCTTTTTCAAATTTTTCCTTTTCCGGTTTGGTCACACTATCATAGGAAGGTGGAGACGTGGTAGAAGGTGTCACATCGGTTTTCTCTGGAGTTGAATTCTCATTTAGTTTATCAATAAGGATATCTTCTTTGATATCTTCTTTGATAGGTGTTCCGTGACCTTCTTTGTCTTTCTTATATATAGCGGAAACCTTTTTAACTTTTTGCCTCAAGAGGTAGCATCTATAAGCCCTCTGGATAATGGTAGCAGACACCTCCTCTTGTTTGCGTTTCAAAGTGGTGGTGATGGGTTCATAGGAGACTTTGGATGGGTTCGATGCCATGAATCGCTCTTCCATCTGTACTCGAAGGGCATCCATCTCTCCACTCTCACCCAAAACACGCTTTGTAAAGGCAAATAAAATGTCGAGGCAGTGGATCCGGTCTCCACTGACCATGGGCAGGTCCATGGCAATGAGCTGAACTTTGTTTGGTTTTGCTACCAGAAGAGGAGGATCCAGGGCAGCTGCAAAATCTGAGAGCTTGGAGAACTCTATAAACTGGGTAGCATCGGGGTCAAACTTCTCCCAAACCTCGTAGAACATCTCAAAGTCATCCTCACTCAGGGGCTCTGCACTTTCTTCAGTAGCAACACTGAAGTTCTCCAGGATGACAGCGATGTACATGTTCACCACAACCAGAAAGGATATGATGATGTAACTGACGAAAAAGAAAATCCCCACAGATGGGTTCCCACAGTCTCCCTTAACTGAGCTTCCAGGGTGATCTTTTTCAGGGTCACAGTCTGGGGGTCCACTATTAAGAATAGGTGCTAGCAACCCGTCCCAGCCAGCAGAGGTGGTAATCTGGAACAGGCAGATCATGCTGTTGCCAAAGGTTTCAAAGTTGAACATGTCATCAATTCCAACTTCCCTCTTGACATAGGCAAAGTTGGACATGCCAAAGATGGCGTAGATGAACATGACCAGGAAGAGCAGGAGGCCGATGTTAAACAACGCAGGGAGGGACATCATCAGAGCAAAGAGCAGCGTGCGGATCCCCTTTGCCCCTTTGATCAGACGTAGGATTCGGCCAATCCTGGCAAGACGGATCACTCGGAACAGGGTAGGGGACACAAAATATTTTTCTATCAGCTCAGCCAGAAACATACCTGTGGAAAACCAAGAGACAACAACAAATATAGGGTTATATTTAACAGCAGCAAATAAAAGTTTACATTGCTAAGATAAACGTTAACTAGTTTTATAAAATGTGAACGTGAGAATTAGGTATATATTAGTATTAACACACACATATATACACAAACAATCTGTAATATTTGTTTGGCAAAATAAAACTGGTATGTTTGGTGTTACAACATGAACACCTTTCTACTAACTGAAGGTATTAGTAGCCATTTTTCCTAGTTTAAGAAAATCTTCTATCAAAAGAAATACCCAACCACTGAAGGTCTAAATATGCCACAAAGTGTAGGGCAGCCAAGCATAGAAATGGATTTATATTTCTAAAATACTAGTTCTAGTATTTGCATAAGAAATAATGGACAAAGCATGTGATTTGGATCAGGAATATGAGAGTCCTTACTCTTTTGAGATGGCTGTGATCCATTTTATTTGGAAGGTGTACAGGGGAGAATCCCAGCTTTGGAGACAGGCATGCTTGGGACTGAATCCTGGCCCTCAATTTTATGTATTACTAAATGGTTATAATCCCTCATTTTGTTGTTTTGTTGTTGTTGTTGTCGTCGTTAAACTTAAAATTTACTGAATCTTCTTTTTGTGCTTGGCACAGTGCTAAGTGTATTTACTTATATACTCTCATTTAATCTTCACAACAACATTCACAGAAATATTTCTTAGAAAATGAGGGATTTGGGAGGTGAAGTAACCTGCCACTGGTCACAGAGCTGGTAAGTAGTAGAACAGGGTTGCCCCAGGCCAGGTCTGAATGACCCCTGAGTCTCATCCTTTAATCATTATATTTCTACCACATAGCTCTTTTGTGAGGAGTAAATGAAATGGGACATTTTTTCAAAGTTCTATTTTATCAGAGAAAGTGTATAAATAGTGCAATGCTATTTTTCACTCTATGTGTATGTTCATATTCCTCCAATAGGCAGAATCTTGTCTTAAATCTTTTGTTTTTACTTCTAACATCTCATTTAATGTCACATACATAAATAATTAATATGTATTGAAGATAATGAATCTGTTTTGAATTTTTGAACAAATGTCTACTTCTGAAGAATATTACAAACCACAGAAAACTATCTAAACTCAAAGATAAGAAGCTTATATGCATCTATATATATGTGTGTGTGTGTATATGTATGTATATATTTATATATATATATATATATATATATATATATATACACATGTATATAAACACACATGTGTACTATTCCAATTATCAAGGATATCTTATTTATGGACTACTTCCAGCGGTTTATATGTGTATGCATATATGAATTGTTAATTAAAAGTCATACTTGTCTATATAACAGCAGTATGACTATCTAAAATAAGACAAGATGATATGTGAAAGCAGAAAAATAGAAATTCTGTTTTTACACATTATTTAAAAAAAATACATTTTATTGATTTTTTACAGAGAGGAAGGGAGAGGGATAGAGACTTAGAAACATCCATAAGAGAGAAACATTGATCAGCTGCCTCCTGCACACCCTCTACTGGGGATGTGCCCGCAACCAAGGTACATGCCCTTGACTGGAATCCAACCTGGGACTCTTCAGTCCACAGGCCGACGCTCTAGCCACTGAGCCAAACTGGTCAGGGCTTTACACATTATTTTATATACAGCGTACAATTAGAGAAATCATAAGCTGTTATATTTTTATTTGAGATTTCTGAATGAATGAGAAAAATTCATTAAAAAACACTTTCAAAGTTGTATTTTTATTAAATTTATTGAGGTGACATTGGTCAACATGATCATATAGGTTTCAGGTATGGATTTCTCTGTTACAAGATCTGTTATATTGCAGTGTGTATCCACCCCTCAAAGTCAAATATTCTCCTGTCACCATATATTAGGATCCCTTTCTGCTCCCACCCCCTTCCCTCTGGCAACCACCGAACTGCTATTTGTGTTCATGAGTTTGTTTTATACCCCACATATGAGTGAAATCATATAATTCTTAGCTTTTTCTGACTGACTTATTTCACTTAGCATAATGTTCTCAAGGTCTATCCATGTTGTTGCAAATGGCAGTATTTCATCCTTTCTTATGGCTAAGTAGTATTCCACTGTGTATATGTTCCACATCTTCTTTATCTAGTCCTCTATTGCGGGATACTGGTTGTTTCCATGTCTTGGCCACGTGAGTAATGTTGCAATGAACATAGGGGTGTATATATCTTTGTGAATATATGATTTCAAGTTTTTTGGGTAATACCCAGGGGAGGGATTGCTGGGTCATATGGTAGCTCTATTCTTAATTTTTTGAGGAATACTCAGACTGCTTTCCATAGTGGTTGTACCAGCCTACATTCCCACCAGCAGTGAATGAGTTCTGAATATTTTTTTCAGAACCTCTCTAACACTTGTTGTTGCTTGTCTTATTGAGAATGGCCACTCTAACAGGTGTGAGGTGGTATCTCATTGTAGTTTTGATTTGCATCCCCCTGATTGCTAGTGAGGTTGAACATCTTTTCATGTATCTATTGGCCGTGCATATGTCTTTTTGGGAGAAGTGCACTTTCAAGTCTGCTGCCCATTTTTTGATTGGGTTGTTTGTTTGGTGTTGAGTTTTATGAATTCTTTATATATCTTGGAAATTAAACCTTTGTTGGAGCTATTATTTGCAAATATTATCTCCCATCTGGTTGGCTGTCTCTTTGTTGTTGTTGTTTTTTTTGTCAGTTTTTTTGCTATGAAGAAGCTTTTTAGTTTGATATAGTTCCATTCACTTATTTTTGCCTTTACTTCCCTTACCTTTGGGGTCAAGTTCATAAAATGTTCTCTACGACCAATGTCCATAAGTTTGGTACCTATATTTTCCTCTTATTGTATGTAACTTATTTTGGGGGGTCTTACATTTAGGTCTTCGATCCATTTTGCATTGATTTTTCTACATGGGGATAAACTGTAATCCAGTTTCATTCATTTGCATGTGGCTTTCCAGCTTTCTACCACCATTTGTTGAAGAAACTATCTTCACTCCAGTGTGTGTTTCTGGCTCCTTTATTGAAAATTAACTGTCCATAAACATGGTTCTATAGCTTGGCTCTCTATTATGTTCCATTGATATGTGTGTCTGTTTTTCTGCCAACACCAGGCTGTTTTGATTATTGTAGCTCTGTAGTATAATGTAAAATCAAGTACATGATACTTCCAGCTTTGTTCTTTTTTCTCTGGATTGCTTTGGCTATTGAGGTTCTTTTGTGGTTCCATACAAATTTGATGATTTCTCCTATTTCTTTAAAAAATTACATTGGGATTTTGATGGGGATTGCATTAAATATGTATATTGCTTCGGGTAATATGACAATTTTCACTATGTTGAGTCTTCCAATCCATGAACAAAGGATATTTTCCATTTTGCTGTGTCTTTTTCAATCTATTTAATAATACTTTGTAATTTTCAGTATATAGGTCTTTCACATTCTTTTTAAGTTTATTCCCAGGTATTTTATTCTTTGGTTGCAATTGCAAAAGGAATTTCTTTTTTCATTAATTTTTCTGAAGTTTTGTTAGTACACAGGAAGGCAATGGATTTTTGCACATTGATTTTGTATTCTGGAACTTGACTATATCTGTTCATTGTTTCTAACAGTTTATTTTTATAAATTTAATTGAAACCACACACAAACATCCCTAAGCCAGGACACATAGCTTAAATAAAGAGGAAACAGAGGAAAGAAGTATGAAATACCACCAAACAAAAACAACGGAAAGAAACATAAGGGAAAAGAAACAATGGAGACATAGAGCTACCAGAAAACAAACGATAAACGACTATAGGAAATCCTCGTACATCAATAATTACCCTTAATGTAAACGGTCTGAATTCACTAGTAAAGATGCACAGCGTAGCAGAGTGGATAAAAACCAAAACAAAAACAACCCCAACCATATGTGGTCTACAAGGGACACATCTAAGCTGCAAAGACAAAGGTAGATTCAAAGTAAAAAGGTGGAAAATGATTCTTCAAGCAAATAGCATCCACAGAAAAGCAGGTATAACCATACTTATACCTGACAAAATAGATTTAAAAGTAACAAAGATAACAAGAGACAAAGATATACATTTTATAATGATAAAGGGGACACTACATCAAGAAAACTTAACACTTCTTAATATATATATACTAGAGGCCCGGTGCAAAAAATTTGTGCACTCTGGGGGGAGGGGGGTCTCTCAATCTGGCCTGTGCCCTCTCGCAGTCTGGGACCCCTCGGGGGATGACCACCTGCTGGCTTAGGCCTGCTCCCTGGGGGATTGGGCCTAAGATGGCAATCAGACATCCCTCTGGCAGCCCGGCAGCCCTCGGGGGATGTCCACTTGCCAGTGGGGAGCAGGTCTAAACTGCAGCTGGACATCCTTAGCACTGCTGAGGAGGCAGGAGAGGCTCCCACCACCACCGCTGTACTGGCAGCCATCAGCCTGGCTTGTGGCTGAGCAGAGCTCCCCCTGTGACAGCGCCCTGACCACCAGAAGGCAGCTCCTGCATTGAGAGTCTGCCCCCTGGTGGTCAGTGTGTGTCATAGTGACCAGTCATTCCCAGTCATTCTGCTGTTAGGGTCAGTTTGCATATTACCCTTTTACTATATAGGATAGAGGCCTGGTGCACGGGTGGGGGCTGGCTGGTTTGCCCTGAAGGGTGTCCCGGACCAGGGTCGGGGTCCCGCTTGGGTGTCTGGCCAGCCTGGATGAGGGGATGATGGCTGTTTGCAGCTGTTCACACCCCCTTCAGGGTGGGGGTCGCCACTGGGGTGCCTGGCCAGTCTGGGTGAGGGGCTGAGGGCCGTTTTCAGGCTGATGGGTGACTGAAGCTCCAAACCTCTCCTTTTTTTCTTTTTTTTTTCTATTCTGGGATTTATTTACCTTCTATGGCTGTCACTGGAGCTGAGAGCCGGCTCCAGCTCTGAGGTCCGGCTCCAGCTTGAGGCCTCGGCTGCTGAAAGCAGGTATCTGGGTTTGTTTGGCTTCTATAATTGAAACACTGTTGCAGCTCCAGCTCTGAGGCCGGGTGGCTGAAAGCAGGTTTCTGGGGTTTGTTTAGGTTCTATAATTGCAACATTGTTTCTTAGAGTTCAGCTCAGAGGCCAGCAGCAGCAGGCGGGAAACCTTGTCTTCCTCCATCACTGGAGCAAGCAAGCCTCCTGTTCTCTTCAGCTGCCTGGCTGCCGGCCGCCATCTTGGTTGGCAGTTAATTTGCATATCGCCCTGATTAGCCAATGGGAAGCGTGTCGGAGGTATGGTTAATTACCATGTTTGTCTATTATTAGATAGGATATATGCACCCAACCAGGGAGTACCAAAATATATAATGAAACTACTCACAGAACTAAAGGGAGAAACAGATCAACACACAATCAGAGTTGGGGACCTTACTACTCCATTAACAGCTCTAGACAGATCAACCAAATAGAAAATCAATAAACATCAGAACATCAGATTATACATTCTTCAGTGCACATGGAACATTCTCAAGGATAGACCATATGTTGAGTCACAAAACTAGCATCAACAAATTCAAGAATATCAAATTATACCAAGCATATTCTCAGACCACAATGACTTGAAATTAGAAATCAACTGCAAAAAAGGAAGTAAAGAAGTCCACAAATATGTGGAGATTAAAGAACATACTACTAAAAAAATGACTGGGTCCAAGAGGAAATAAAAGATGAGATGAAAAGATAGATAGAGATAAATGAGAATGACAATACAACATATCAAAATGTCTGGGATGCAGAGAAAGCAGTAATAAGAGGGAAGTTGATATCATTACAGGCCTATCTCAAGAAACAAGAGAAATCTCAAGTAAACAACTAACATCATATCTTAAAGAATTAGAAAAAAAAAACCCAAAATCAGAAGAAAGGAAATAATAAAAATTAGAGCAGCATTGAATGAAATAGAGAACAAAAAGACTATATAAAAAATGAATAGCCCTTTCTGGTTTGGCTCAGTGAATAGTGCGTTGGCCTGTGGACTGAAGGGTCCCGTGTTCAATTCTGGTCAATGGCTTATACTTGGTTGCATGTGGGAGGCAACCAATCGATGTGTCTCTCTCACATTGGTGTTTCTGTCTCTTCCTCTTTCTTTCACTCTCTCTAAAAATCAATGGAAAAAATATACACTGGTGAGGATTTAAAAAAAATTAATAAAACAGAGCTGGTTCTTTAAAAAGATTAAGAAAATTGAGAAACCCCTGTCTAGACTCACTAAGGAAAAAAGGGAAAAGACCCATATAAACAAAATCAGAAATGAGAGACGTCACCACAACATCACAGATATACAAAGAATCATACTAGAATACTATGAAAGACTACATGCCACCAAAATCAATAATCTAGAAGAAATGGAGAAGTTACTAGAAATATGTAACTTTCCTAGACTAAATAATGAAGACTACGAAAATCTAAATAGACTAATCAGCAGTGAGGAAATTGAAACAACCATCCAAAACCTCCCAAAAAATAAAAGTCCAGGATGAGATTGCTTCACCAGTGAATTCTATCAAAAGTTCAAAGAAGATTTAAAAAATATTCTTCTCAAACTCTTGCAAAAAATAGAAGAGGCAATACTTCCTAACATATTTTAGGAGGCCAATAAACTTTGATACCAAAACCTGGTAAAGATAACACAAAAAAAGAAAAATACAGACCAATATCTCTGATGAAAACAGATGCAAAAATACTTAAAAAAATTAGCAAATCAAATACTAAAGTACATCAAAAAAATAATACATCACAATCAAGTGGGATTCATTCCAGGGGCACAAGGATGGTTCAACAGACGCAAATCAACCAATGTAATATACCACATTAACAACAACAACAACAACAACAAAGGATAGAAGTCATATGATCTTATCAATAGACACAGAAAAAGCATTTGGTAAGATATAACATCATTTATGATTAAAACACTCAATAAAATAGAAGACAGAAAGTATCCCAACATAATAAAGGCCATATATGATAATCCTTCAGCTAATACCAAAGTTTTAGAACACACCTTTTCACTGCTAACTTTCTTGATTGAGTAAAAGTACCTCTTCTTACCTACAATGGATAGAATGACCACCACAAAATCAAAAATATTCCATCCAATGGTGAAATAGTAATAACGAAGAGAGATTAGTTTCAGCACACATTCTCCAGTGAACAGGACGATAAACACCAGATTAATCCAGTACAGAATGTTTGTCATTTCTTGACTCTGGTCATCAGTTTCCACCATCATGGTGACCATGTTCAGGCAGATGAGGATCATGATGCTGATATCAAAGACTTGTTTGGTGACAAAATCAAAGACCATTCCTTGGAATTTGTTCTGGAACAAAGAATATGTAAAAGATCATTTAGGAACTGGGGGGAAAATCAAGTTCAACTCATTTGATTTTAACACAGCAATATGAAAATGCAGCTTTTTATAAAAAACACACCATGTTTGTTTTATATTAGGAAGAATTTGATATGTAAGATGTTAAAATAAGAAAAACTGGGTGAAGATTTTATGAGGTAACTCTTCTGTAATAAAATTATCTTTAAAAATTATAGTTCACAATCCAGATATTCCACTTTTGCCCAATTTAGTTTGGGCCTTATTTCCAAGCACTTATGGGCCTCATGTCTTATGAAATTAGGGCCTCATCTTGTAAACCAATTCTGCAAATTGGGCCATGTTTTGTTCTTTTTTGCCTGTATCTGATTTTTGTCTGTATCAAGCACTCTAAGGCATTGGCCATGACAAAATTCTGCTAAGCTGTCTTCTACCTTCTCAGTGATTGGTGTTCTGCTACCTATACTAGTACACTTCATAGTTTCCCGGTTCGATACATTCACAGGTCTGGATTCTCTCTACTGGTGTTCTGACCTCACCACGTGGTTGTTCATTTTATGCTTTTCTCTGAATACATATCTGGTCTGCTGGATTGGACTTAATAAATGCATCGAATTCCTATTCTAAGGTCTTCCTTCTACTTGGTTGCTGCAGTTTCACTTCCCAGGTCTGGTTATGTTCCCTCTATTTCTACCTTCCTGATATTTTCTATCACTGTACTGTCATATCATGTTGTCTTGTTTATCTGTCTCCTCTATCTAAAATGACTTCTCTGGTGAATTCTAACTCAGTTTTATGTTTTAAGCACTCTGCTCTCAGAAAACTTTGTGCTCACATTTGTCATAATGTTGATGACATTATATTGTCAATGATTTGCTCTTAGTTAACTTAAATTTTCTCTTCCACTTGTTTGGAGCCTCTGTCAGGACAGAATAGTGTCATTTTTCTCTCAGATACAGCACCTGGAGTTGTAGTGGTTTCAGATGTGCTTAAAAGCAGAAATTTGGTCTTTATTTTCATATTATCATGATCAATAAGAAACATCTTAAGAGGCCTTCCCCATATAGTTTCCTAATGGGTCACCTCTATGTAAAACTTCAATCCTCAGTCACTGATTGATGTCTCCAATTTAAATTCCAGGGTGTAGAATATGCTGGCGGAAGGTGTCCTAGTATAACCCTGAGGGCCTTGTTCACCAGAGATTTATGTTCTATCACTTCATCTTATTCTTAGCCCTTGATAACGATAAAACATCCTTTGTTCCTCAGTTGCTCCCAGGATAGTTCTCGCTTTCTCAGAAATTTCCCTGCTCTCTGCACTCCAGCCCCACTGGCCTTCCTACTGCAGGGCCTTCACACATGCATTCTCCTTTTCCTGGAGGACTTTTCTTTTTCCACTTTGCTTATTGATACCTTCTCATTTTCTTCAATCCTCAACTCATGCATCACTTCAGTGAAGCTTTCCCTAACTTTCCTATTAATGAGCTCCCTCCCCCTTATCAGCTCTCACAACCAAGTGGCGTATGTATTCTTTCTTGGATATTTCTATTAGTGTGACTTTTTGCTTACAACTTGCTGCACTAAATAGACTCTGTGTTGTTCAATACTAAATTTCAAATGCTTGAGATAGCATATTCTTTTTTTATAAATATTTTAACTTGATTTTTAGAGAGAGAGTAAGGAAGAGGGAAAGAGAGATAAACATTGATGTGAGAGCGAAGCCCCTTACCAGGGGTTCAGCCACAACCTGGGCATGTGCCCTGACTGGAAATTGAACTGGCATCCATTCAGTGCACAGGACAATGCTCAACTAACTGAGCCACACTGGCCAGGGCACACAGTACATTCTTAATGAATGACTGAATAAGATGGATTGTACTACATCATTTCCTAATTTGCCAAATTGTCACCAGTAATATTATAGCTAAATGCCCTGATTTTTACCCATGTATCCCTACACCCATCCATGTAAATCTATGTCATTTGATGTAATTAAACAGCCTCTCTTTTTTTTTGAAATTTTCTCCATCATACCTTTCTCTATATACTGCCTGACTAATCAATCTCTTCCTTCTTTGATCTACCTCTCCCTCTAATAGGGAAGTGCCCAAGGCTTCATGCTCAGCATTTTTCTTTTTTTTGTCTATTCTAATTATCTTTCAAAAATGAATCTATGCTTCAGAGTGTAACTAAATTCTGTCTGGCAAGTCTAGAATCCTTACCTCAGTCTGATGTCCCATAGGAACTACATCTGTATTGCCAAATGCATTTATAATACATTTCCTTTCATTGGTTATTGGAACCAATCTTTCACAAAACATCAACTGTTCTAAGTTTTTCATTGTCTACATATCTTCCTTCTTTTCCTAGAGTTTATAGCTGCCTCATCCCATTGAGTTTTCTTATTAGCACATATATCTCTCATGTTTCAGTCCTATTTGGCATGGCCCCATATTATAGACTCATCTGTTATTTTGTCTCTAACATCTTCTTAAACCAATCTCTAAAATCTTCTTTTTTTTTCACATTAGCATGCTGTTCTTTTAACTATATTGCATTTGTATTGCTTAATTAAGATCAATTTCTTCAGACTGATAATGGTTACCTTCATTCATTTAGCCCAGAAAACCCTGTATTTACTACCCACCAAATCAAATGTCACTGTTATCAATGGAAATGTTTATTTTCATGGCTTGGACTATACATTTTCTCATACAGGGAATGTACTCTGCTTTTCTTCCCATCCATTCAAACTGTATTATTTCTCAAAAACTAGGCTCAAACTGTACATTCCTTATGTTTTATTCAATAACACTATCTATTTTTTCTGATTGTTTTGGTCAACTTACAAACTGAACACGGGCATAGCTAGTTTTATATTGTCATTAGTTGATTCGTAGAATATGGATTCCTGGAGAACACTGGATTGCCTCGCACTATGTATGCCTTGGGGGAGGAGTTCTGAAAAAATTTGGGCACTTTCCTGACAACAATTTCCAACAACAAACAGAACCAGCAGCAAATGGCAAATATATAATTGGAATAGCTACAACTGGTCATAAAAAGAATCATGTTATCTGATTTAGGGGCAAGATGCTTGGAGAAAATATGAAGTTAAAAAACAACCACACTGTTACTTGTTTCATTAATGATTTCATCCAGTCTACAGAGTTGGACAGAAAATGGGGCATATCTGAGATTACCCATTATCCCAATCTGCTTCCACTACACACTGAGCATATACAATATTTCAATATGGATATATTTTCCTCTCACATTATTAGAAGCTCTTCAATGATATAACTGACATTTTTATATATATATATTTTACATGCCTGTATATAAAATATATTTATACATATTGCATATGTAAAATACATGCACTTAGGCTATTTAGTCTAGCTAGTCTCACATTGCTAAGGTAAAACGTTTTTTTGAAAATTAAAAAAAAATACTAGTATCTAACAATTTGAACTGTGAAAGTGAGAGATAACATAGCTTTTACTGATGATGAAAGTGTTATTCTTACAGCAGGTCGAGGTATGGGTTTTTGTGGTTTCTTTGAACCCAGTTTTTTCATTGCATTATAGTATTTCTTCTGTTCTTCTGTCATAAAAATGTCTTGACCTCCAAAGTAAAGAAATGAAAACAAAACTTGTTTAAAATCATGTTCTTTGCTAGCTATATAATCCACCTTAGTAGCTGTGTGAAAATTGGCTCCACGTTCTATGCTAATGTTGTTCATTAATCTCTATTTATAAGGATGCATATAGTCAATATATAAGTTATGCCATATTGGTCAGTCAGATTTCTATACTGGAAATACAATACATGTTTTATAAACCATCTTATAGTTAAATAAGTCTCTCAAAATAGTTTATGGATTTTACATTTTTTCTTTTTTGTGGCTGCATTTTGGAGCCAAAAGGAAATAATATGACACGTTCAGTTCACATTTTAGAGCAAAGATAAAGTTTTAGTATACTTATCTTCTTTTTCTGTTGGTTGAAGTTATCTATGATGACACCAATAAAAAGATTCAGAGTAAAGAATGAACCAAAAATAATAAAGATGACAAAATAAAGATACATGTACAGATTGTCTTCATACTTTGGTTGTAATTCTACCTACAAAATATAAAGAATGACAAGTATTAGACCTAATACTTGTTTCATAAAAAGAATATCATGTGAATTTTCAATTCTCAAAACATGCCTCAATAATTGGGAATAAAATTAATTTCACCTAATAACTACTTAGATTATGAATGTATTTTATGAGCAAATACCCCAATAGGGCATGCAAAGTGAGGATTTCCTCCTCCAAAAGAAGAGATGTTATGTTAAAACCTTTAAAATTTACTCTGACTCAGTTTCTTCATCTGTAAAATGGAAATAATAAAGCCTAAACCTCATATGGTGGTTGGAAGGTTAAATATAGTAGTAATATATGAAGAGTACTTAAAACAGTGCTTGGTGAATCTATAATAATAAAAGAGTAATATGCTAATTAGACCAGATGTCTTCTGAGGCGTCCTTCCTGATAAAGCCGGGGCCAGAGGGGAGCCAGCCCAGGTCCCGGGTGCCAGAGGGAAGCCAGTGCTGGCAGTCGGGTGAAGGAAGGCCTACTCTTGCATAAATTTTCATGCATCGGGCCTCCAGTAGTAATATAATAGCTGAAAATAAAGGTTTAATTTCTATTACACATTTCTTATGATATGTATGTGCGGATATAGGTATATCAGAAGGGTCTCATTCTGAATATGAGTCTATTGATTCATCTTATTAAGTAGGCCTTAGGCACAGATTCTACAAGATGAATTCTCTTGTCCAGCACACTTTCGATCGAAAAAAGGTGTGATAGTTGGTTTGTGCTTTTGGCTGTAATCTATAGTTCAGGTCTCACAGAATATTGTTCTAAGTTAACCAGTCACAGGAGATAATGGATGCAGGTAATCACCTAACGTGTCATAAAATCACTCTAGAGGATAATGGCCAACATTATTTTTTTCCCCTAATGAAATAGAATAAAATAATAAATATAATAAATATTATAAAAACACATATATTTTGATAATACTTTTATTTCTTTTGTGTGAGTTAGTAGAAAGTAATATAAAATGGCATTTTAAAATGTTTTTCATCCTATATAATAAAAGGCTAATATGCAAATCAACCAAACAGTGGAATGACCGGTCGCTATGATGCCCACTGACTATCAGGGGGCAGACACTCAATGCAGGAGCTGCCCTCTGATGGTCAGTGCACTCCCACAGGGGAAGCGCTGCTCAGCCAGAAGCTGGACTCACAGCTGGTGAGGGCTCCTAGACTGGGAGAGGGTGCAGGCCAGGCTGAGGGACCTTCCCCTTAGCCCCACAGTGCACGAATTTCATGCACTGGGCCTCTAGTTATATAATAAATACATAAGCATACATAGCATATAAGTATAAGATGTAATAAATGGTTATAAAGCGAATTTTACAACTCAGGACATTGTCAGGACCTCAGAAACCCTTGGCCTATCCTTCCCAAACATAAATTTGACCATTTCTGCTAGAGGTAATCATTATCTTGACTTCTATGGTAATTATTTTCTTGCTTTTTCTTTAGAGTTAACACCTAAGAACCTATTCATGAACAATAAGATTAATTTTGTCTACATTTTTCATGGCAGACACATTTGTTATAGCTCTGTTATATTTTGCAGATTTATCCACATTGTTGGGCATATTGTATTCATATATAATTTTTATCACCAAATAATATTCAATTATTTGTCCATTTCTACTACTTTTGAGTTGTTTACAGTTTTTGGTAATGCAAAAAAAGTTATGTTTATTCTTGTACACAGATCTCCTATGTATGTGCACTAGTTTCTGCAGGATATAGCTAAAAATGGAATTGCAGGTTTAAAGAAATTCTTAACTTTATTCAATAATGTGATGATTCCCAAGGTTTTAAAGGAATATTTATCTTCTTTTTCCCCCAATTAGCAAAGTGTAAGAGTTATTATTGCTGTTCAGCCTTGGCAGTACTTAGTACTATCAAACTTTTTAATATGCCAGTCAGGTAGGTGTTCAGGTGATATCTCATTTTGGATTAAATTTACATTTCTTTGTGGATTAATGAGAGTAAGAGCGAGCAACTTTTCATATTTTTAAGGGGCAATTAGAGTCCATCTTTCGTAAAGTGCTTGAATGTCAAGGAGTTATGTAGCAGACAATGTATGCTAAATGATTAAGATAGAAACTGAAAGTAAGTTGCATGTCACGTAGGTTATTGATAAAAAAGATAGAGCGAACTTTAAATGAAGTAATCAAATAAGTAGAAAACTACTGTAGAAAGCAGTTATAAGCCCATTGTGGTCAAAAGTTCAAAAATATGTCCTACCACTTAGTGTGTTAATCCTCTTTGCTTCCATGATAAAATAGAGTTGAATGTCAAACTACATGATAAGGTTATTATTTAGGACTAAATGACAAAATGTCAGAAAGTCCTTGGCATAGCACTTACAGAGGTACAATGCAGGGACTTTAGCTCTTGTGCTCTCTTTATTAGTAAGTGGAATAAATAAATAAATAAACACACACTCCAAAAAGAAACAAACAAAAAACCCCTCAGGAGTTCTTTTGAGTTAAACCTGGTGGCTGGTGCCAGGTAGATAACATTTTAAGCTTAATTATCATGTTCTGGTGACATACCAGAGATCAGTCTTTTTTATTTTAATGTGATTTCCTCCCTCACTGTTAATGAAATCAACAAATAAATGAAATTAATGGAAATTGTACAAAAAACTTCAAAAGTGTTGAAGTGTATAAGGTGAATTGTGAATGCCCTGTTCTTCTACCACAAATATCTCACTTCCCAGGGAGGAGTACTATTAAGTTTTTTGTTTGTTTTGTAATGTTTGTTTTTTCCCACCATTAACCAGATCCCTATATTACAAGAAAGATAAAGCTGAAGGAAACCTAGATAGATGAAGAAAGTGCCCATGAGGGCTCCTAATACACAAATGAGCATAACTATCAGAGCCCAAACTAAAATGTCTCATCTCAAATTCAGTCAACAAATTTTTAAGTGCCAGGTGTCATGCTAGACACTAGAAAATATGTTAAAAGATTTGCAGTGAGAAAAAATATCAGGTGAATATTTTATCTTTGTAAAATAGATGTGTTCTATAAATTGATCCACGGTTTTATTTTATTGACAATATCACTAAAATACAACACTGTGAAAATACTCGCTGGATCAAATTAAGCAATTTTCCCTCTAAGAAGACTTACATTTCGTGAATCAACAGCTGCATACATGATATCCATCCATCCCTTAAATGTGGCCTGTAAAAAAATCACATCATTTAATTTTTCCCCCCAAATTATAATTTTATAAAAGAAATTACATATCAGATTGATTGACCAAGATTAATTTAAACCAGGTATATATAATAATTTGGAATTAATATCTAAACTCTTAGGGCAAAGTTTTATAATATATGCTTTGGAAATACTTCCACTTTAATATTCTTCTATTATATCTATATCTATATCTATATCTATATCTATATCTATATCTATATCTATATCTATATCTATATCTATATCTATGTCTATGTCTATGTCTATGTCTATATCTATATCTATATCTATATCTATATCTATATCTATATCTATATCTATATCTATATCTATATCTATATCATCTATCTTTAACATCTTTAATTAAATTCTGATAAATTATAACAGCATGCTATTATAAAAGCAATTATTAACAACTTTTGTATCTGATGTGCCTAACATGAAATTTGATTAAATAATTTCATGTATGTAGTACTAGCATCAAACAAGTTGAAAAGGATGGTGCATTGTTTGTTCTTAATGCTTTTTTACCTATGTTTTCTGTTCTAAAAGGTATTATCAATAATATGAATCATGATGGTTTGTTCCTGAAAATCTCCTCCATATTGTTGAATATACTATTTTGAGGCACTATTCTATAAGGAGTTTCTTAATCTGAAACAAACACTATATGCAATTGCAATTTAGTCTTTTAAGTATTTGTTTTTTTGTGTGGACACAGTAATCCTGAAAACAAGTCTTGTACATTTTTTTCAGTTCCTTAGTGTCACAGGCTCTTCCCTCTAATGTTCATACAGTGTTGGGAATTGTGTGGGTGGGTCATCTCATGGAGCATGAGGACATAACTTAGAGTGGTCATTTGAGAAGTTGCACTAATTGCTATGAATTGATATGAATTGTTATGAATTGATAGTGACATAATAGACTTGATAGGAAGGTTTTCATTTGCAAGAGAGTAATTCTCCTCGCTGAAAGTGTTCAAGCAGCAGGCAGGAACATGCAAATGAGGGAGCAGTCTGTATGAAGGATGTAAAGGTGGGGAGTTTTGGTGAGGGTGGGGTGAAGTATGGGTGGGCAAGGACTTTTATCTATATTCTCAGGTACCTGAGAAAGAGCACAGAAGTCTACCACTCCAACCCCACCCAGGGGCCTGTGCCTCTACTTTCTTAGAGTAGGATGGGGAAAACAATGGGAACCCACAAAGAAATCTCAGTAACAAAGAACTGTTACTGGGGTCTAATGCATAGCCTGGGAGATGATAAACTTTGCAGAGCTGTCCACTTTCAACATAGTGAAGACAGATAGTTCAGTAATTTTCAGTATTTTTTCAGGTCTATACAGATGGACCTGGCGAAGTATGTATTTATGAATACAGAAAAAAATTACATTCACTTGAATAATACATCACAGAGAGTAATAAAATGGTTACTTACGACTTGAAGCAGAGAAAGATATCCAAGTCCTACATTATCAAAGTTTACTTTCACATTTTTCCACCGAGCAGTTTGATTGCTCTCTATGAGGGCTTTACATTCGCTGTAGTTGTTGACCACACTTACATCAAAGATTTCTCCAGTGGTGTAGTTAATACAATGATAAAACTTGCCAGCAAAGAGATTCACTCCCATGATACTGAATATTAGCCAAAAGATCAGACAAACCAGAAGTACATTCATTATGGATGGAATGGCTCCTAAAAGAGCATTGACAACAACCTGACATGAGAAGAAAAAATAGGTGAAAAGTCAACAACAAATATTTACTTATGGTTAACTATTTTTAAACACTATAAAAAGAACAACAATCAAATGAGAGAAAATATATATGTTCTTAAAGTTACAGATTAGGCAGAATCTAGTCTCTAGTGGCTGCAACTAAAATGTTTAAATTATAATTCAGAATAGTATAAAATATATTCTATGTTGTAGATTGTTTTGTCAAGTGGTAAGGCAATATTCATATCAAATTGTCACCAAAGGATGGGACTAATCACAAATGCAAAAAATAATTAAGAATACAAATAATGACATGACTACAGAAGTGATGTAATCATGTGAATGTCACAATTTTTAAAAATCATGACAACCATAGCATTTACTATCCAAAATCTGAAAGTAAAAGAGAACACTTGAGGGTCAGTTTTCAGGGTGAAAGGGAATACTAATGATAACTATTCTGAGAAAGGAAGTGTAAGGCGGGACTGTCCCAAGCAATGTAGCAGCAGTATAGGGTCACTCTACATAGGAAAACTGGAGAAAAGAGAGCGAAGCATGGAGATTGAACATGTGAGGAGGAGAAAGAGTTTGGAAGTCAGGAGATCTGTACTCTAGTTTGTATCACAAATTAGCTATGCACCTTTGAACAAGTTATGTAACTTTTCTGGCCCTAGGGATCCTCCTTTGTGGAATCCCTTTCAAAAAGAAATGAAAGCAAGTTTTAAAGACCTTATTAAAGTGTGAAGTTACTACCAGAATTTCAACTCTCATAATTCCGAGGTACTTTGTCTTGACACTTATTTATTTATTTATTTATTTCAGAGGGGAAAGGAGAGGGAGAGATAGAAACATCAATGATAGAGAATCATTGATCAGCTGCCTCCTGCAAGAACCCCCACTGGGGATGGAGCCCACATCCTGGGCATGTGCCCTGACCAGAAACTGAAGCGTGACCTCCTGGTTCATAGGTCAACACTCAACCACTCAACCACGCTGGCTGGGCGACACTTAATTTTTAAGCTCACCATAGAAAATGCTCTACTATGCAAATGTGAGAAGAGATTGATTAATACAATTATATATTTTTTAAAAAGCTGGGTAGCAAAAAACAACACATGCGTTTTCCAATACAGTTAAATCTATGGAAGTATTAAGGATTTAGGTGCATACATCCGCAAATTTGATTTAAAAAAATGGAAAATTATTCTAGTACTGAAAGTTTGATTGCATTTTTACAAGAAAAACCACTACTGTAAAAACAGCAATTTTGCCCGGCCAGTGTGGCTCAGTGGTTGAGCATTGACATATGAACCTGGAGGTTATGGCTTGATTCCCGGTCAGGGCACATGCCTGGATTGTGGGCTCAATCCCCAGTAGGGGACATGCAGGAGGCAGCCGATCAATGATTTGCTCTCATCATTGATGTTTCTATCTCTCTCCCTCTCTTTCCCTCTCTGAAATCAACACAAATATATTTTTTAAAACCCACAGCAATTTAAATTGGTAAAGTGAAAAGAATTTAGAAGCTAATAATTAGTTTCCATGCAACTGTATGTGCACAAATACACAGACACACATAGCTATTCTTACCATCCAATGTTGTGTCTGAAATATTCATAGAAAGTCCCAATAATTTTCAAATATCACAAAAAAACATCATTTTTTAAAACTTCCTTTTTAAATAACTAAACCACTCTGACACAGCATCATTTCCTCAGTGCTGACGGTATGTGGTCTCAGGTTTCGTGCCGCAGGGATGAAAAATGATAAGCACAAACTCCTTCCTGTTCTTTGTACCACCTTTCTACATGAGTGTTAGATTTCCACCGTTGACCTACTTTTCAGCCCTCTCAGCCGGTGTTTCAAATCTAAGAGGCCAGATCTGGACTTTGAAAGGCTCATGATTTGTTTAAATTACAGTGAGTGGGATTTCCTGCACATTTATAAATGGAATAAACACCATTTATCTTGACTCACATCAGAAGCTTCTACAACACGATAGAGATTTCCCACAGAGTAAAAAATCTAGTAAGGAACAAGCACTTAGGCATTATATTCTGTGAGTGTCCCCAGCAGTGACAAATATTATTGATTGACCGGTTAGGTCAGTATGAATGCAGAAGACACACATTTCCATGGATGTGTCATTTCTAAGGTACAAAATGTCTGTCTGTTCTTGCTTATAATTTCAACAAATTCTAAGCATTTGGTCTTACCCTCATTCCTTCAAAGCGGGATAAGGCTCTCAGTGGCCTCAGAGCTCTTAGTGTCCTGAGGGACTTGATGGCACCAAGCTCTGAGTAACCCAAGGCGTTTGCAGTCAAGCTCACCAAGGAGACCTATACAGAAAAAGCAACACAATTTTCTTATTTACAGACAAAAATGCTTACACAGATCAACCATACTCTACGCAATAAATAAGTAGCTAGTTCTCAAACTTCACCGAGTATGAAAATCACCTGGAGGGCTTGTTGAAAAGGAAAGATCCTGGCAGAGTCTGATTCAATAGGTCTGGGGTGGGGCCTGATAATTTGCGTTTCCTAACATTTCCAGATGAATCTAATGATAGGAGTTGGTGACCCACACTTTTAGAACCACTATCATACACTTATGAAAAAGAAGAAACTATGCAGGTTCTCTTCCCAAGAATCTTGACACGAACATTTTTGTAAATTAAGTGCAAAGCAAGAAAAATAATGGCACAGATATGCAATCTATGTAGCTGTAACACTTTATCATTTTTCATGCTATTTAGCAGACCTGAGAGGAAAATTAAAACTTGGTACAAGTACACGGGTAACTGCAAAACACTGGTGAATCTGAACATAAACACATTCAGAAAGATCTTGGCCTCTACATAGTGGCTTTGTCTTTATGTAAATTTTAGTGTGAGGGTGTATAGGCATTAATTAGCTCAAATTTATAATAATAAAACCGTAATATGCTAATTAGACCAGACAGCCGAATGACCTTCCAGACATCCTTCTGGACAACCTTCTGGACGAAGCCTGGGCTGCGAAGGTTGAGACAAGCCACCAACTGCGAGGGCCGAGCCCCTTGCGTGTCTTTCCTGCATCGGGCCTCTAGTTAATTTATAAAAGCTGAGGTTTTAGTATAAGTAATTAGAAATTGCCAAAACAATGTTTTCTTTAATCATGTGTACAAGTGACTAATGTAGTTGGTATAGTTTTAAAGTCTCAGCTGACAAAAAAGGAAAGGACTGTCACAGGTGACACAGAAATATCTGACTTCCTTTGAAAATACACAGGAAACTCATTAAAATTACATAAGCTAAGAAAAAAATATTCTCCTAAAGTGCACCTGAATTTCAAAAGCAAATAAATAAAAATAGATGTATAGTATAGTTTTAAGACTATGGAATTAATAGATATTTGAAAAATATATTTTTTTAAGAAAAATAAGTGAACCAAAACATTTTTATAATAAAATGACAATCAAACTTATTTTGCACATGTAATCTAAAATAGCAAAACTTCTAAATTTGTAATAAAATTGAGCTATAAAATATTATTTAAGTGTGCTATATATTTTTTTTTTCAAAATCTAAACTTCTAGGCTTTGTTAGTCTTCTCTTCACAGATATTTTAAACATAAAGTTCCTAATTGTCTTTGGGCCTCTAAATAATCCCCATTTTATTCTATCCATCATTTATACCTCCACCAAATTTCTCTCCCTCAAAGAGTGAGCTTTCCTTGCCACTTTCCACAGACAATCTTCAATGGCATCTTCTTTACTGAATCATATGTCTAAATCTCTTTGGATGGCATCTCAGGTTCTCCAAACTCTTCTCCAACTTACCGTTCCGATCTTATTATCCATTTGCAGGACGCTTTCCCTCACCCTGTGGCACTGTGCTTACCCTCCAGTGCTGCTTGTTTCTTGAACAGGCCCTGTGGGCAGGCATCAGTGTCTGAGCATCTTGGTGCCCCTCCCCTCATCTGCACCTGCTGACATTCTCCTCCCTTAAACTCTAGCTCCCACTGCACTGCCCTCAAGACTTTCCACCTCCCTCAGTGAAGTGAATGGACTAATACACATGTCATCTTCTAGTTCAGTGGTTCTCAACCTTCCTAATGCCACGACCCTTTAATACAGTTCCTCATGTTGTGGTGACCTCCAACCATAAAATTATTTTTGTTGCTACTTCATAACTGTAATGTTGCTACTGTTATGAATCATAATGTAAATACCTGATATGCAGGATGTATTTTCATTGTTACAAATTGAACATAATTAAAGCATAGTGATTAATGACAAAAACAATATGTAATTATATATGTGTTTTCTGATGGTCTTAAGTGACCCCTGTGAAGGGGTCGTTCAACCACCCAAAGGGGGTTGAGAACCGCTGTTCTAGTTGAATAGCTATCTGTCCTCACAAGACAACTATCAGTTCCCAAAAGCCTGGAAAAATGACATTCACATTAGTTTCTTCAATAACAAAATAGATGCGCAATATATATCAATATAAAGCTAAGTATTGTTTAGTTTAATATTCTCAAACTAGTTTTTTTTTTTTTTTTTTTTTTTAATCCAAGAAGGTAAATATCAGGATATGTTAGGTAATATGAACACCAGCTACAGGACAACTGATTTCTCTTACAGATTCCTTTATATTCAGGTAGTATTGCCTTAATGCCTTTATTATTAAACTAGAGGCCCGGGGGGCTGCAAACTCTTGCAATCTGGGACCTTTTGGGGGATGTCTAACTGCCAGTTTAGGCCCAATCTTCTTATGGATCAGGCCTAAAATGGCAGCCGGACATCCTTCTTGCAATCTGGGACCGCTAGCTCCTAACCGCTTGCCTGCCTGCCTGATTGCCCCTAACCACTCGCCTGCCTGACTGATCACCCCTAACTATTCTGCCTGCCTGCCTGCCTACCTGATCACCCCTAATCACTCACCTGCCTGCCTGCCTAATCGCCCCTAACTGCTCGATGGGGGATGGGGGGGGGGCAGCCAAGGTGAGGGGCCGTGGTCATTCTGGTCTCTAGTCATTCTGATCGTTTCGCTGTTCCAGTCTGTGGGCTTTTATTATATCGGATAGTGTGTTAAATATAGGGTGTTTTATTATACATTTATCAAGTATCTTAACCATGTAAAGAAAATAAGAAGAAAAAGTATCATCTATAAACTCATTATACAAATAAAAGAATGGTATAATTTTGGTATGTTTTTCCATTTTTTATAATGTCTAAACATATGGATTTAAATTATTATTTATTGTCATTTTATTGCCAGAAAATTTTTGATATGATTTTGTATGTAATTTTATATATTTAATAGATTTGCTTCACGAAGATTAGGAAAAAAATAAAACAAATATATTTTTCTTTGCTAAATGCAAAGATCGCTCTTTGTCTCTTACATAATTTTTTCTTGTGTTCCGTGATTAGAAAGGTCACAGTGGATTAAAAACTGATATTTTTTTACCTGAAACTGTAAAAAATAATTTTCGTCAAGAAAGTGTCTATTTTTTTCTTTTGCTAACATGATATTTAAATTTTATATATCAAAGTATGTCTTTAATTGTCAAGAAATTATTAAAATCAATATATTATCTTTACAATGCATTATTAAACACATTGTGATTTCCTGAAAATTCAGTTTTCTTCCTCTGTGTTGATGGTGATCATCAATCTGTTCCCTTCCCCGCATCCTTACTCTCTGTGCTCACCAGCTCCCCTAGATTTTTTTACTTTTTTTATAATCCTTTATTGTTGAAAGTATTACATATGTCCCCTTTTCTCCCCATTGATGCCCTCCAGCCCCCTGCCCTCCACCCCAGGCCTTCAGCACCCTATTGTCTGTGTCCATGGGCCATGCATATATGTATACAAGGTCTTTGGTTGATTACTCCCCCAGCCATCCACCCTCCCCTGTCTTCCCTCTGAGATTCTGCACTCTGTTCTATGCTTCCATGTCTCTGGATCCACATCAGCTTATTTTGTTACTTAGATTCTACATATGAGTGCAATCACGTGATACTTGTCTTTTACTGACTGACTTATTTCACTTAGCATGATACTCTCCAGGTCCCTCCACGAAGTCTCAAAGGGTAAAAGAAACTTCTTTTTTACTGCTGCATAGTATTCCATTGTACAAATGTATCACAGCTTTTTTATCCACTCCTCTACTGATGGGCACTTGGGCTGTTTACAGATCTTAGCTATTGTAAATTGTGCTGCTATGAACATATCCCCTAGACTTGTCTAGACAAAAAGCCTTTAAATTCTTTTCTCTTGATTCTGAATAAATTAATAATTTGAAAGGCATTTAAGAAGTAAATCTCCAAAATGAAATAAACATAATTTAAAACTTTTTTATTCAGTATGACCTCATATTTGTGAATAAAAGATGAGATGTTCCTCAAACTTCTCACTCAGAAATCAGGAGTAACCTCATGTTAATGTTTTAAAACCTCTTATACTCTGGTTCTCTGTCTTACTTTATTTTCAACACCAATGCAGTTTAATAAACTTTTAAATAATTAGTTGATAGCCAATCTGTTTCAACCATCATATGAATCAAGAAGTGTCTCTTGCTATTTGGACTTTCACATTTCTTTGTAATTAGTAATCCATCTGTGGGCCAAGCATTTCTCAACAGTCTCTGGTGATAACAAAGATGCTAATGTCAAAGATGTGAACAATTTAAATATAGTTATTGTATTAAATGTGAGAGTGAAAAAAGCAAAACTACATTAACATATTATTTGTATAGCTTGGAATGTTAAATATTAATTTGAAGCTAAATCAATAATGATAATAACATAGCATTTGACTGCTGTTTCACCTATGAAAGTATATGTATTTAAATTGGCCAAAAAAAAAAAAGGGTTTGGGGACTTTGTATCATTGGCAAAATAGAAATCACCATTTATATTTGCACCCATGCAGACAGTATTGATGGAGTGCCTACTATATATATGCTAAGCATCATTGCGAGGACTAATATGTATCACAAGCATGTCAAACTCGCAGCCCACAGGCCACATGTGCAGCCCAGCCAATATAATGGTATGTAAGAAATGTTATAATAAAAATTTCGTAACTTAATTTTTACGATATCCTGTTGTACATAATTATTAATAATGAACTACAATGTTCGCTAATGACTGATTACTATAATCGTGTTGCACTCATTTCCTTTATGCACCTTATGCGTAGGCGCACCATTTCTCCCCACTAATACTAGCAGCAAATATTTTAGCAGCTGATTGCCGCATCATTAGTCTTGGCCTGACTTGTTTGGTGTGTGCAACAGGAAATATTTTACTTTCGGAGAACAAGAAAAATAGGTTTAGTTGCTTTACGCTTATTAATTTGTGCAGTTATTTAGTGTCTGGTAAGTTAATGTTCAAGAAAAAATATTAATTTTTATTAAAATGTTCTATTATTTCTCATTTATTTCAGCCCTTTGTATTCAGCATGTCTCTACTGAAATAAACCTACATTTCTATGAAATTTGAAGCTTTTGCTTTTTACAGCCCACATAAACGTAAACCTTGTTTATCTGGCTCATGTTAGCCTTTGAGTTTGACATGCTTGATGTATCATCACATGCCAATGGAATGAAACAGTGGAGAATACTCACATCCACAATCAAAAAATCTAGCCAGCACCAGGCATTGGTAAAATACATTTGAAAACCATATGCAACCCACTTGAGAAGCATTTCCAGGATGAATATGTAAGTGAAAACTTTGTCAGCATATTCTAATATGGTCTTAATTGTTTTTCGCTGCTCAATATATATATCTTCAAAGGCCTGTAAGGAAAAAAATGCAATTAAATTTCATTGTACTGTCGCTAATTGATAGCTTATTAGAAAATACATGCTGCAAACCTCTTCTCAGGTGCCCACACTGGAAGCCTTCCTGTGTTCATAGCTGCATTTTGCCTTATAGTTATCTATATGCAAATGGCTGCTGCCTCGGCATTTCAGTCAACCAATAAATTCAAATGATTTTAAAGTTTTAGTATCAGTACCTTAAAAAAAGTTAAAATTTTTTACTGCCAGCTGCTTATCTCTACAGCAGAAAGTCACTGCAAGTAGACCCACTTCCTTTAGTGCAGTCACTGGGATGTACCCCCTCACTAATGCAAATGTAAAGCAATGAGCTCCGTTAGCCTGGGGAAGGACACTGGACTATAGCCTCTCTCTCTCTCTCTCTCTCTCTCTCTCTCTCTCTCTCTCTCTCTCTCTCACACACACACACACACACACACACACACACACACACACAATTTCTAGAAGCTCCCTAAGCCATCATTTTGCAGAATTCCTCAGAAAGGGTTGGGGACTCATTTACAGGAGTCCCTGGGACATCTGAATGAAAAAAGTAATTGTCTAACTCAATGCCCTTACATGCAGTGGTTCTCAAACTTCCTAATGCCTCAACCCTTTAATAGAGTTCCTCATGTTGTGGTGACCCCCAATTTCACTGAACATAATTAAAGCACAGTGATTAATCACAAAAACAATATGTAATTATATATGTGTCTTCCGATGGTCTTAGGAGACCCCTGTAAAAGGGTTGTTCGACTCCCAAAGGGGTCGCGACCCACAGGTTGAGAGCCGCTGCCTTACAGGGAAGACTATGAGGGTAAACTGGTGGTCTGGATGAATGATAAAGAAAAAATTTCTTTTTTGAAGAAAAAGGGAATCTGAGCTTGTGAGCTTAGCACCAGGCCCTAAAAGCTTTCAGCTCAATTTACAGCTGAAGGTGGAAGCTGCTTAGAAGCCAGCCTGTTGATGTACTTCCGTGAGCTTTGACTGGATGTACTTGAGAACCAAGAGCTACTACAACAAGGACAGTAGTCACTAATGAGATTCAGGGTTGTCTTTCCATTTGGCATTAAAACACAGGGCTCACCCCCTTTGTTATGAGTACATGGCAGGATGCAGGATTGTCAATTACATCAGGGGTGGGCTTAGAGGCCTCCAGAAACAATGCCATATCCTTATATTGAAATCAATTCACCCAACACTACTGACTAACTGAAAAAATAGTACAAATGCAACCACGTTTGTATCACCAAATAGGAAAACTGGTCACACTTTTTATTGTGTTAATCAATATTCTGACCAAATTGATCATTCCATTGAGTGAAATCAGACATAAAATAGGTTTGTAATGCTTTCACTTTTCTGCTAGTCAGTAATTATGTTAGTGTACTATTTACCATTCACTATGGTTGGCACTAGTGAATCAGCACGAACAAGGCAGGTGAGTTCCCTGCAGCAATGGAGTTATGTTACATAGTTTGATATTTAGCGATAATCCATATCATACCTGCATAGTTATTCTTAGTAAGAACTGTCTCTTTTGAGTGAAAGTAAAAAAGATCCTTTTTTAGATATTACAAAAACCATAGTGTTCTCTGTTTGATTCATCCTGAGGCCTACTTCAGAATAATAAATTTATTGAGCCTATTTATTGAGCCTCTCACAACTATGCTAAAAATATCACACGATGTCTCTCATCCTCACCAACAAGTTATTGTAAAAACATGAAATAGGAGGTGCATCGAGAGGAAAGGTAAAGGAGCAGATCATATGTCACTTACCAGTGCCCCACTGCTGAGCAGAATCATGAAGACAATGAAGGTTTCGAACCAGTTATGCTCCACTATTTTATAGCAAGTTTTTCTCAAGTTCCACCAGAGTTTTCCTTTGCCTTCTTCTATGCTAATCTGGCAACACTTAAACTTGCGTACACAGTCTAAAATATGTCAAAGTAAAGGAAGAAAAAGAAAATACTCTTTGATTGTGAACACTTGTGTTGGTGGGATATTCATCTATATTATTATCTGACAACTGGTAAATGACTTCATTTTTTAAGATGGCTTCCACTTATAGAAATAGAAATCATCTATAATGTTTTCAATTACTCATTCCGCACATTTTTTATGTTTACGGGACTATTAAATTGGATTATATTGCATTAGAAAGACAGAAAAACAGAGAGAAAATTAAAATAACCAGAAGTTGATAATTTCATTCATATGTGGATATTTGTATATTTGAATTCTAATTGTTTCACTTAATGGTATAATATAAACATTTCCTTTTAAAAATGTATGTTTTTATTGCTTTTAGAGAGAGAGGAAGAGAGAAAGAGAGGATGAGGGAGAGAGAGAGAGAGAAAGAGAGAGAGAGAGAGAGAGAGAGAGAGAGAGAGAGAGAGAGAGAGAAGGATATAAACATTGACTTAAAGAGAAACATTGATCAGTTGCCTCTTGCACATACCCTAACTGGAGATCGAACCTGCAATCTGGGCATGTGCCCTGATGGCGAATCAAACCAGCAACCCCCAGGTGCATGGGACCATGCCCAACTAACCGAGCCACACTGGCCAGGGCCAATATTTCCTTTTTAATTACAAGTAAATAGAATATGAAAGCTTTCACAATACCTCTAAATAAGATTACCAGACTTAACAAGAATTAATATAGTTATTCCACTATTATTGAATATTTATATAGCTTTAATTCTGGCTATTATTAGCAACAATGTAATAAACACCTTTGTGTAATGTGTGGACTACTAGATCAAAGGCTTGTCAACAAATATTTATTGAATATCTCTTGTATTCAAGGACTTGTATTGAACAAATTATAATACTAGAATGTTTAAGACATAGCCTTGCTCTAAAAACAATCTGCATTTGAAGCAGGAGAGATTCTATAATTACAAAAAGCAATAATTATCACAAAATAAATAAGGTATTGTGAGAATTTGTGGGCAGAGATTAATTTCTGATATTGAGCTTTATGGATGTAATGGATTTGAGATGAGATTTTAAAAGATGTGTAAGAACCAGTTCTAGTACCTGGAGCTGTAAGGAATGCAGAAACAATGATACAAGTAGAACTTGGTGAGATAAATGCCTGGAAGCTGCATGACAGACAGGATTAGGAATCAAGACTAGAAAAGACTCCAAGAGCTAATCTGCAAAGAGGACCTGAATGAGGAAATTTAAATTTGATCTGCTGTCTCAGGGGGAAACATTGAAGGGTGTTTTTTTTTTTTGTTTTTTTTTTATAAGTTATGAAAATTTACCTGATAAGAACACTGATTTAGAATTATGTATGCCTATTTTGAAAACTGGATAGAAGAAAGAAGAGGGGAAAGGAATTCAGAGTCTATGAGACACAATCAACTGAACGTTAAAGAAAATGAAAGGAGGGGTAATGGTGGTGACAGTGGTCAGGATACTGCTAAGTTGATAGGACCTGGCAGCAGACGGAATACGGTGTCACTGGTGTGTGGGAGCCAGAGGAGCCAGGAGATAGGGTGTTAACCACGATAGAGGATTCTTGGAGCATAGTATTTTACTGGGTAGATATTTCTCAAATGCTACTTTATAATGTAAGCAGCCAGATCATCTCCTTTGTTTCATGAAAATTTAATGAAGTGCTATTAAATATTATTAGTTTCTCATTAAGAAATACAGGGCATATTTGTTGTTTTTTGAGGGCAAGCTCCTTTTGATATTTCTATTTCCCAAAGGACTAAGGAGAATTACATGCCCTAATATATTCATTGCAATTTATTAAATGAAACTGTAATTTCCCCTCCTAATGAGGATATGAGATGAAAAGACACTGTTTAACCAAAAAGAAAGATCAGGTTAGTAGGAATAATAAATGACAAAATATTGAGACACTGGTTTACCTCTAAGATAGAAGAAAGGAAGGGGTACAAAAAAGGCCTAATCTGTATCTGTTTTATTCTTAAATAAAAACTGAAGCAAATATAACAAATATATTCAAATTGTCAAAGTTGGTCAGTATCTATGAATTATTCATTATTATTGTCTATAATGCTATGCTGGTAATATTTCATTCTTAAAATTGTTTAACTTTATAAAAAACAATGTTGATAGCATCATATTTATTATTATGCATACTAAAGGCCCAGTGCAGGAATTCGTGCATGGGTGGGGTCTGGCTGCCCTGCCCCAATGGGGGTCCATAGGGCTGAGCCAGAAGGGAGGGGCCGCAGCCGTTGGCCAGCTGGCCCCGCCCCTGATCGGGGTGGTGGGGCCGATGGGGGGCGGGGCCAGCCTGAGGGGGCCTGATAAGGGCCCAGAGCAGGCTGTTTGGCTGCCACAATGCACATCATAGACACTGGTTGTTCCGGTCATTCTGGTTGTTCCGCCGTTCTGGTTGCTGGGCTTTTATATATATAGATATCCTAAAGTAAGCTAATTGTCTGGGAAAGAGTAATAACTAATGCCACACAAATAATTTTTGTGAGATACCACTTGAATGTTTTGCGAAGTCATAATTCTTTTTTGTTGTTGTTAATCTTCATCTGAGAATATTTTTTTCCATTGATTTTTAGAGAGAGTGGAAGGGAGAGAGGGGAGGAGGAAGACAGAAAGACAGAGAGAGAAACATGGATGTGAGAGAGACACATTGATGGTTGCTTTCCTCCCCATGTGCTGACCAGGCCGGGATCAAACCTGCAACCCATGTACATGCCCTGGATTGGGAATCAAACTCGAGACCCTTTGGTGCGTGGGTTGATGCTCTAACCACTTAGAACACTGGTCAAGGCTCATAAATTTTTTTTATAATCAAGTAATTATACTGAAATGTATGTAGATTTTTTGAAGGAAATAAGAAAAAAGTAGTGTCCATCATAACTTATGCTGAACAAACAGCTTTTGCTCTAAAGTTATTTAAAACTTGAAATGAATATTTAAATATTTATTTTCACCAATGCATTTAAGTCCAAAATCAATAAGTATATGTAACATAATCTTCTATAAAAACCTAGAAAGAATCTGTTGACATCAATTGTGATTTCTAACATCTGTATAGTTGCATTTTTAAAAACAGCTTAAAGTTTAAATTAAAACAGTTTTAATGTCCTTAATATAAACATATATTGCCCAAATGAAACTTTTTTAGATTTAGTTGCAATAAACTAGCAATAATTTGAAGCAGTCACTATTATAAAAAACAAAACAAAACAAAACAAAAAAACCCCTTTTATTTCAGCAATTACTGTATGGTATTGAATTTGGGATTAAGACATAGTATGAATTATTAAATAGCTGTTAATTAAAAAGTGAGTGAAAATGAAGTGAGTCCCAGGGTTTTAGAGAAGCGTTTCTCTGTCTATAATAGTGGCTTACATAAGAAATGAAAAGAATTTTGTGTCCTGTGGTATAGCACTAATTTTGTGTACCATTTGGCATCATTAGTAGTACATTCTCACACTGAATCTGGATTGGCCAGGACAGAAGTACACCGGACACAAGTGGAAGCTTGACCTTAGTATCCAGGCTTCCTCTCTTGCCCCTTTGCCTCCAGGATTGGAACAACCTCAGGCCAGGGTGTGGAGGATGAGATAGCCAAGCGGAGCTGAGTCACTTCAATTGTCTCATCCAAGACCTCAGACTTGTGAGAAAGCCCAAGCAAGATCAGCAAAACTAGCTAGCCGGCAATGGAATTGTGGGCAAAAATATGCTTGTTGTTATATGCTAAGAAATTTTGAGTGGTTTGATACACAGTATTATTGTTCAAGAGATAATTGATCCATATCTCAAATGGCATACTTTTAGCTTTCTGCAGAAAATCCTCTTCAGATTACTCCAATGGCATGGTGCCCCATACAATATAGTATATATTAACTCATAGTTTATTTTAGCATTTAATTATCTCTTATAATCTAGAGCTCTTAAAAATGTTTAACCTTAGCAGACACAGGTAATCCTTTAGGGACAATTTAAAATGTACTCTCATCAGTTAGCACCCATTATGATCAGGTAAAATAGTAAACCATAACCTAGTTCTTTGAGTTTCAACTTTTTTTCTCTTATTTTCTAAAGCTAAAGAGAGATAGGTGTGATTTGGCTTTCTCTTCTATTCGATAGGTCACCCAAAAACCCCAGATAGTTAGCAGCATTTCCAAGAGTTGAATAGGATCCACAAAAATAAGAACATCTGATCACATAAATTAAATCTTACCTCTTTAAAAATCATCTTTGTTTTGACATAGAAAAAGTAAAGCAAACACATGACGGTTGTTAGATAGATGTAGATGATTTTAAAGCGGGAGGGGAATAGATGGGTGGCTAAGAGAAATCTGAACACACATGCGTTGTTTCTCTTACCTTCTGTGAAACAGGCTTCAGGTTCCAGAGATTCTTCAGGTTCCACTTCCGGTTGCTCCCCCTCAGCGGGAGCTCCTATATCAACTGTGCTGCCTTCTGATGAACTAGTTGCATTTAACTTCTGAAAATCAATTCCACAGAAAAGCTTTTAAAATGTTTCCTTTACTCTATAATATAAAAATTCAAAAGGTGTGCCCTCAAGTCTTCGGGACGTATCCCCTTGATCTGTAATTTAAGAATATCTTAAACATAATGCCAATCTGCTTTAGTAGAGGTGGGGGGTCACAAGATTAGATACAGCAATAAAGGATATTTTTTTTTTCTTTAAAAATATGCTACTAACAACTTATACAATTTTTAATTAAGCCCATCATAAAGATTCTGAAATAAAATCCTGCAGAGAGCTCATGGAAGCTGCCAGAGTTGTATGGTCGTCCGTGATCTTGCTTTTGTTAATTAGTTTGCGAATAGTATAGTGTGTTTTATTCTAAAATTGTGACCCAACCAACGAAAGCTGTATAAGTGTATTTTCATGTCAAATGCAGAAAAGATTTGATCAAATGCACATAAACAGCAACAATCTAAATTTATCCACTTTTCATTGACATGAAAACATATACCATCAGTTGTTATTAAATATATTCTATAGTTTTCTAATTCCCAAAAGAGCAGCGCGCTGTTAGCTTTGTAGCAAGAGCTGACATTTCGCATTCTCTTTGGCCAATGCACGCCCGGGTTTCGTTGTGCATTTGGAAACTACTTGTTACTCTGGCACTCCTACCTGTTTTGTTCATACAAGCAGAAATAAATCTTTGGTTGTTGTTGTTTTTTTTCCTTTAGGTTAAATCAAATACCACCAAAAGTATATATATGTACTAGAAAGAAATTGTTTTAAACCTTGAAATGCAATAAACTTTATGTAGGTCAGGTCCTTCATGGATCAGTATAAATGAAGAGACCCCAGCCTTGAACCTGATCGTAAGTTACTGCAGTCATGACACAGGGCCAGGTATGAGTGCCACATGGAATCAAAGTAGTTTGGGCCAGGGCATTCTCCAACCTGTTACAATGTTATTACCATTAATGCATAACATTAGGAAACGGCTGAGCTGGTAAGAGCTACATTATAAAGGGGATGAGGTAAGCACATGATAAAATGCAGGTTAAAATATGTTGAACTATTATAAAATGGATGTAGTCAGTACTAGAAACAATCTATGCACATGTGGCCTAAGGATTCTATGAATTACCCTGGGGAAATGGTTACTTTATTGTATGAAAATAATTTTCTTTATATAAAATATTTACTTGACAAGTGGTGCTCATGAAGTAAAATATTTATAGATAATATATGAGATTGAATGCTTTGTCTGGTCCTGACCAGGGAGCTCAGTTGGTTAGAGTGTTAGCCAGATATGCCAAGGTTGCAGGTTTGATCCCCCGTCGGGGCACATAGGAGAAACAACCAATGAATGTATACATAAGTGGAACAACAAATCAATGTTGCTCTCTCTCTCTTTTTCTCAAAATCAATCAATCAATATTTTTAAAAACAGAAAATGTTGTATCTTATGTAATTTAATAATACCAATGATAGAAATGTAAATATCATATATGTCTGCCTTGGAACTAATTTTTAATTTGACCAAATTAGTAAAATCAAGGATTATATATTATAAGGTGTTTAAAGTTTGCTGATTCATTTTTCTACTTACCAACTATATCACAACACTAGACAGATACTCAATTATAATATTTTTGTCAATAAAATTTAAATATATTTTGTTATAAGATGAAATGTCAAAGTGAAATTTATTACAAATATTCTAAGTTTTTGGACTATTTCTAATTTCCTGTCCTCCGTCTTAGATATGTGTAGCTTTTTTTACATACATAATTGATTAAGAAATGACTTAATTACCCTCTCTTTCCAACCCATCTGATTCGCATGAAGTTGTTACCTATCAGGGATCTGAAAATACTCATCATTTGCAGGATGTTGAAATATGATATAAGTAATCAGAAAAATTAAAGCCCAATCATATGTGATCTAACTACAGACAGCCCACAATTAGATTTGGATGACATTCCTCTTAGGAACAAGCATCACACTGCAAATACAGATTAGGGGAAGACCTGGGAGTGGGCCAAGTAAAAACGAGGATCCATATTCAGGGTGTGCCACACTCTCAAGCTGGCATTGGTCAATTGCTGTATCAGAGCCTACATCAGGGCTGGGTATGTTGAAGGTTCTCAATAAATATTGTTTTAAAATGAATGAATGAGCGGACTTCACAACATAATGAAGGTTAGCCCTTGACAATGATTGGAAAAAGTCACTAGGCAAGATATTCCAGGAAAACTTTGTTCAAAATGTTCAAAAGTTTCCAGAGGGCCCTGTAATATCAATTTATCAATCCTTTCATTTAGCCCAGCGACTTAGTATTGACATAAAATTAATAGATGCTTCTAAAATATTGATTTCAGATAGAAATGAAGTGAGAGGGAGAGAAAGATCTATGTGAGAGAGAAATATTGATCAGCTGATCAGCTGCCTCCTGCCTGCTCTCTACTGGGGATTGAAACCACAACCCAGGCATGCGCCCTGACCAGGAATCAAACCAGGCAACCTTCAGGTTCATGGGACAATTCTCAACCAATTAAGCCACACAGGCCAGGGGTAGATGCTTTTTTAAAAATATATTATTTTTATTGATTTCAGAGAGGAAGGGAGAGGGAGAGAGAGATAGAAACATCAGTGATGAGAGAGAATCCTTGATTGGCCACCTCCTGCATGCCCCACACTGGGGATCAAGCCCACAAGCCAGACATGTGCCCTGACTGGGAATCAAACTGTGCCCTCCTGTTCATAGGTTGATGCTCAACAACTGAGCCATGCTAGATGCTTTTTTATTGAAGCCAAATATGTATGTACTTAAAGGTCATGTTATTACTTTTTCAAAAGTGCACATAAAATATTTTGTATTTCTAGAAGACATATCTCGCCAGACTTAATTTTTTGAGACAAATATCATGCTTTTACCATCTCTGTATCTCTAGTACTTATCATCAATGCTGTGTTTAATAAATGTTTGTTGAGTAAATGAATGACTGTTACATGGAATCTTATTCCACCACTATTTCTAACACCTCCTATCTAATACTTACTTTCATATTCAAGTGCATACAAATAATATTCTGACTTAAAGTTCAGAGTAACACAAATCCTGTAAGATTCTAAACTGTGTAATGACCAACAACTCTTAGAATGAGGAGTGCTGTCTTAACACCAGGCTCCCAATTATTCATTCCTGAGATGAGTCTGCAAAGCAAACCGTAGTTTAACTCTGGAGTCAGGAAAACTGATGCTGACAATGTTTTCTCTCTTTTCACTCTATCTACAAGGATCTACAGTCCCAGCAAGTGAATGGAACCTCTTAAAGAAGAGGAACGCTCATCCTTCTCCATCTTCTCTCTGATGTGGAACAATACAGGACCTACCGCTCACATGAATTACTTGAATAGCTTTACTTGGTTGACAAATGAAGAATCTGGGCTGCACATTCATCCTCAACATCAACCATGCCAGTGTCTATTTAGAGAAGGAAATGGAGCTTTAAATCACCTTCTCAAAAGTCATAATGAGTCAGTAGTTGGACTCTAGATCTTCTGTACCCCATTTTTCCTTAGAGAATTTCTTTGAAGATTCATAGGTAAACCCAATGTTTATCTATTTAAAACATTTAGTAGACTTTACATGTAATCAAACATTGTAAGTTTAAAATAGTTCTCATGATATTGTCAATTATCATCTCTCATGATCATGAACGTAGTATTAGTTCAGGTTATATTTATATTTTGAAATTCTGACTTATAAAATCTTTCTAGATAACCTCAATTCAATGACTTTCTTAAATCACCTGAGATAAATATCATAATTATACAAAATATGTTGACTAAAAGTTAAAATCTGTAAGGCACCTATGAAAGCCAAATGAATCTAAGACTATAAAAATCTTCAGCTCCAGAAAAGGTCATAATTACAATCAATCCTAATTACAGTGCAACTTCACACACATCATTATATGGAACTATTAGTCCTCATACACCTAAAAAAGAATTTTCAAATAAAGACTGCTTGTCATACTTCAGTCTATGCATAGTTCACTACAAAATGCTATATTAGCAAGAGACCAAAATATTAACTGTCTAGAAATAAAACCAGTTCTATAGTTTCAAGTTCTGTACTTGACATGTTCTACTTCTCCTTGCTAAATTTAGATGGATAGGTTATCTTTTTATTGTCTGAGCTTATTTATTGGGAAACAAGTAGGCTGAATGATATTGTTAGCATAGCCCTTACCTCATTAAACTTTAACAAAATCCGAATCCAATGTCAGGATAGTTAAGATACCAAACAGGAATAGCAAATTTTTACTTGCTACGAATAATAGCACTGGCAATCATTTACTTTTAAATGTAAATATTAAACATTTTTAAAGTGCAAACTTCATTATAGGGCTCATATTATTTAAAACCTGGATTCTTCTAAGAGCTAGGAAATTCCAGTTTTAGGAGTTAAGCAGAGCAAAACCATATTTTGCTTAGTGATCTAATAAATAAATGTCAAGACACAAATATTCAGTTTGCATTTTTAAACATATAATTCTTTTGCTTTCTACATCATTGATAAATTATTATTAAACATCAATGTGCCAAAATAATTGTCCTTCTTTCAGAAAGTATAAGTATTTATAAAAATAATTAATCAAATAGAAAAAGGGAGAGAAAACTTCACTTCCTATTAAGATTTTCATAAGCACACATATTTCTCGTTATGCAGCTCTTTTTTAAAAATTCAATTAGTAAACATTGTATATAATTTAGAAAAAAAGACTAGTATATTCTAATCTGAGTCAATAAAATAATATTTTTTAAAAAATAAAAGGATCATTCAAGTATAGATTAAATCAAGTATTCCATATCTAACTAACATTTTGGTCTTTAAGAATGGCAATCCTTTGTCCCATGTGGATCCTAGTGCTAATCTGTACTTAAAGGCAGCTCTGGGTCATTTTACATGAAAAATCTTAACACTGGAACAATGAAAGTGTGGTCTTG